CGATCACGACTTTGGGCCTGGAGACGAGTGAGAGTCGTGAAAATGGCTACAAATGGCGCATGGCTGTGGCTTAAAAACGTGATCAACAGACAAGCATTTTGGTGCATTTAAGGAGTGAAGACTGACTACGCCATAGATGTAAACTTCTCATGAGCTATATTCTGATTCCGATCTGAGCACACGTTTGGATCAGTTAAACGCACACTCACTTGTAGAACAGGAAATCCGAGTCAGTACCACTGTTCCACTTTACTACGACGTTCACTTTGGCACACTTCACGAGACATTCACCCCCCTTTAAGGGTGGAGACGGGCTGAACTCATTCTTGCAGATGCTTCAAGTTATGCTAAGTCCATCTTTCGATTTTGAGGTCTCCATGACACCACGAATGAGTTGTCAAAATGAGCTCGAATTCCTGTTAGATTCAATTCGGAAGGGAATCCAACAAGCCCGGTCTGTATCGCTGAATTGCACAGTATTTTGTCCTTGGTGCTAACTGTGCCATTGACATTCACTCACTACGTCAAAAGTGAAGTAGAGTTCAAGGCATCGGAGTCTGCAAGAATAATCTGCCCTGTCTCCAAGAGGGTGTAGGGGAGGCTATCCGCTGAATGAGGAGATTTCGAAACGGTCATTTGGTCTTGAATAACATCTCCAGAACAGAAGGATTTTCTTCTGAACATCGTCTGAAAGTAGCCCAACAAATAGAAGGCGTTGAAAGCGCAGTTTCAGATGGTCCGGCCGGTGTTAATTTCTGTTGGTAACCCAGTCGAAGAGACCATTTCGCTCCAGAAAAGAGTTTGTGCCCAACTGGTTTGTGGAAGAAGCTTCCCCGAATGCCACATTTGTCACGATTTGCAGCTCAAGTTCTATCCAATTCTGCAGAATTTCAACTTGCAGTTGAGGCTCATCTTCTGAACTATCGTTCATTGCATGCATGCATACATTTGAGGCAATAGGAATCTGAGAGGTTTGTGGATGAACTTCTGCCAAATACGATGATAGGGGAGATAGCCTGTGAAGCATATAAATTGTGAACAGATTTATGGTGAATTGAAGATTACTGCAAATACATTTCCGACTACAGCCGAGGGTAACATTATCAGATTGGAGTGGATTTTTCAGACCGAAATTGGCTTTATCGAAAAAGCCTATCAGCTCGAGGATAATAAATTATGGTCTATCAAAATCTGAGCGATTCACATTCTACACACTCGTAAGAAAGTGAACGTGGCAAATCTTTCCTCCTTTAACTGCTTGATGGAATCTACATCTTTTGCATTTTGGCAACTTTGGCGAAAAACTGTAGGCAGCTCGAGGAGGCAAATTCTAATTGAATATCAGAAGACGCCATTATTTCTGGAAAATAAGAAGCTTGCAAAAGATGGCAGATAGTCCTGAAAGACACATAAAGCTAGCTAGCAGCTTGCTTTAAACCGTCACTGTCTGGATCGGACTGTAAGCAGACAAATGCTACCGGTTGTAATAGCTGTGTATCATTTTACCGATGGATATCTCCTTTTATATACCGCCTTAGATACAGCAGAGGGGAGGAACGGCAGTATTTTTAAATGCTAAGACGATCTGTTTTCTGTTAATAGGAATGCTTTTAAGTGAATTACGATAGAATTCTGCTCCAACTGCATATTCTGACATGTTTCATTTCGAGTAAAAGGGATTCGGCATAAACCATCTTTTCATGCATTGAATGCTTTTAAATACCAAAAAAGTCATGTCTAAGCTCCGAATTTAACCCACTTTCCGGGCTCTGATTATTTCCCAATTACTAAACTCAGTTGCGGGGACTTTCACTTCGTATGGAAGGGCATGAAGAAGAGATTCATAAGTCGATCCCATCAGAAGAGATCGGCCGAATCCGGTTGAACTGGCTTGGTTTGGCTTTTATACGACGTTCAGGTTGACGCAGTCACGAGACCTGCTCCCTCATTTCGGCTGAGCTTTGGTCCATCCTTCGAAGGACATCATCAAAGCTGGGAGTTATTCTTGCAAAATTGTCAAGTTAACACTAAGACAGGAATACTATCCGGCTCTATCGCACCTCTGATATAGACTCAATAAAGTGAAAGACAATTACAAACTTTAATAGATATAGAATGGTTTGGCTAATTATCAATGTTATCTCAGGAGATTCGTATCTACAATGTACGTACGGTTCGACTTGTTGTCATTTGTCTTCTCGCTACACTATAACCAAGAAAACTATATCCCGGCAAGTTAATAAAATAAGATTTTTAAAAGGTTTTTTTCTCATAATGTTGTTTCTATGTGTTTTTAACTAGGTAGACGTTTTGATGTACCGGCATCCACAAAATAAGGAACTTGATCAGGTCTCGTGTGGTTTATTTAAAACTAGGCTCAACGAAAGCATTAAAAAACTCCACGAACTAATTAGAACCAAAAATAAGCTTAAGCAATCCCTCTCTGAACTATTGAATGATGTTGATTTAGTTAAGTTACAAGTCATGGCTGACGGGTTAGGGGAGACTATTGGCAGCACTACTTGTCGGTTGATTGAATTAGATTTTTTTAAAATATGTATTTCACATAAATTTGTTCCTACATGTTGATTACTCGGTAGACTTTTTAATCTACCGACGTCCACAAATATGGAACTTGATCAGGTATCGTGTAATTTAGATAAACCTAGCCTCAAGGAAAGCATTAACAAATTACACGAACTAATTAGAACCAAATCTAGGTTTAGACAATCTCTTTCTGAAATAGTGAAGGTTGTGGATTTCATGAAGTTACAAGACATGGCTGACGGGTTATGAAAGGCGATCGGATACATGATAAGAAGCTCCTTAATTTAGGAATCAGAATTAGGTCGAGAAACTTTGCGCCTAAAGTAAGTCGTAGTAACCATGGCTGTAGCAAAGTGGGAAAGAATGAGGTAATCAATTTATGTGGTACAACCCTGGAGGATAGTGTAGTACTTTTATTGGAAAGAGGATTGAATTTTGCACTTCCAAATGAAGTAGACCGTTCTCTAGAAGTACTTGTTGAATTAATTCGCTTGTCTGATAGATTGCCTGAAGAGGTATGGAATAGTATTGAACTTGGGAGGTGGTCCCTCATTTTGACGATTGATCGCTATGAAAGCCGAAAAAGGTGGGGCAGTGGTAGTCATGGCTAGTTAAAGTTATGTAGAGCAAAGTATAATTCGATTAAATGATACCAACGCGTTCATGCCTTTGTTGAGATATCCAATAGAAAGAATTAAGACTAGGCTAAAGGATGCCCTTAAGGTATGCGAAAGTGATGGTGAAATGGAGAAGTGGAAAATGAATTGGCTACTCCAAAGAGATGCAAGGGCCCCCACGACTTACGGTCTCCCTAAGGTTCACAATGAGGGTGTCCTTCGAAGATTAATTGTAAATAATACAGGAAGTGTGATGCATACAACTTAGGAACTCTGCCAATTTTTGGTTATATTCAGTTAAAAATTTGTAGGATTTTGTGAAATTGGTTGATCACCAGACACTTCCAGAGGAGTATAGGCTAGTACGTTTTGATGTGTCCATGTACACAAACATTCCTGTTCAAGAAGCTATTCAAGCTCTGATGTAAACTCTGGAGGAGACAAGGAATAAGATGGAGTGTAGCTTCCATTATTAGACTTATTATTATCCCATCCATGAGTACCACATATTTTATCTTTGGTGGTAATTTATACGAACAAATAGAAGGATTAACGATGGGATCTTGTCTGTCTCTCAGCTTAGCAAGATTGGAGGAATACGTCCTGCAAAAGGCAATACCAACCCACAACTTGTTGGTTTGATGCATGGATGACTATTTTGTCATCTGGCCTCATGGGGAGGACAGTTTAGAAAGTTTCCTACCTTCACTCAACCAGCGTGAAAGGAACATTAGGTTCACGATTGAAATGGAAGAAAATAAGTCCTTACCTTTTCTGGATGTTCTCATCATTAGAGAAAAGGATAAGTTAGAAAGAGATGTTTATAGAAAGCCAGCAAATGTTGGTTCTTTGCTTAATTTACTTTCCAACCATAGTTACAAGACTATGGTTGGAATTTTGAAGTCAATGATTCTTAGAAGTATGAGGCTAGCGGATAGTAAACATTTGACTAAAGAGTTACAACGGCTGGCAAATATATATTCCTGGAAAATAATAATCCTTTAGGCTTTATTGAGAATAATATTTGTCGACTGAGGAATACATTTTCAGACGGGGAACATTTAGTCAAAGATAGACGGACTGAGACCTTTTCCCATGTCTTTATTTTATCGTCATGTTTTCTCTCAAAAAAGATAGGCGAATTAGTGAAGAATTGGGGCATAAAAACAGTACTCAAAGAAACCCTCACACTTTCTTCTGTTATGCCATCTTTTAGTGAGAGATTGTTTGCTCATGTAGTCGATGTCGTGTTGGTGAGACATGCCGGCTTATTCGACAAAGATTGGGAGAACACAAAATGCTTGTAAAGGAAACTGGGTTCAACGGTCAGAAGTAGAAACTGGGCATAAATGGTCTCAAACTAGTAGGTTTGCTGATTATGGTACGTCTGTGGTTAAAAGAAAAATAAGAGAGGCTATTGAAATTTGGGAATACGTTGAATGTGAGGAACGGTGGTAGAATGTGGAGTAGGAACTAATTTTGCTTGATTGATAGATTGAAGGAGAAAAAGGTTGTTGAGCCGTCGTCGAAAAGAAGACGACCAAATTTGTCTGCACGGTGATGGTTCTAACTTCACTCACATTCGTCCAACATGCTCATCAACCAAACCAGACATGTCAGATTACGTAGCTCCAGTCTTGCATTTCCTTGGAGGGTTAAACGTTAATGACCCTTGACCGAAAGTTTGGACAAGTGGTTTTGTAACTTGATTTTCCTGCTTACAAGCTCATATCTCATCATCTCAACCATACTTGCCTATGCAGTCTCGATCAGGGCTTTCTCTTGGGTCATTAGGTCTTGAGGATCAGAACCTGATATTAAAACTTTGACAACTCTGATTTAGGACCGGTATTGCGTATAGACGCAAACACAAATACATACACACACGCACACACTCGAACAAAATTTGACGAGACCAATATGAAAGATAATTAACCAAACCACTCTATATCAAGTTATCTACGTTTTTTAATTTTATTTTGGCTTAATTCAGCCTACAAAAGAGGTGTTAACGCGAAACTTTTACAAGAATGCCACCCAGCTCTGATGATGTCCATCGAATGATGGACGAAAGCTCAGCCCGTTTTCCCCGAAACGAGGGAGGTCTCGTGGAATGCGTCAATCTGAACGTCGTTTTGAAGTTAACCGGCTGCATTACAACGTGATTCATCCGTCCTCTTCTGGTGAGATCGACGTACCAATCTCCTCTTCATGCACTTTTACACGAAATTAAAGTACCCCAACAATGTTATCTCATGAGATTCAGCGTAAGCCAGTTTCTCTTCGTGCTACACTCAGCTTCAAGATCAGCAATTCACGCAAGTATTGACATTCGAACTGCAGACATGCAGAAGCATTTGCGGTAACTGTGGGCAATTCAGAATGGGCGAGACGCTTTTTCCTCAACAACATGCCGGTGTACCCTTCGTTATCAGTTCAGATCAAAATGTAATCAATCCGCTGAATGATGAGCCAGCCTAAACTATTGCAGGTAAACAGCCACAGGAATTCTACAAGATGGACTGTCTGGCTCAAGACTTGGTTAAATAAGATATGTATTGCGTACTAAAGATGGGAGAATTAAAGGAAGCCAAAATAAAAATTTGCTAGCACCACTTGACAATTGGGATTCTCGTATTAAAGTAGAGTTTCGAGACTACCAGTAAATC